TTTTTTTTTTTTTTTTTTTTATGTTGTAGTGCGAGCACAGCAGTTTGCACAAACTGCCTTTTTAGAGCTGTGACATGCTCTGGTTTTTGTGTCAGCACCAAGGACAGCGACAGTTTAGTCCTGGGAGAGAAGGACGGGTGAAGGTTTGTGTTGAGAGGACGGAGGTCTGGAGGGTGTTAATGCAGCGCTGCTGACAGAGTGTGTGCTCTCAGTCTCACACCAGAGAGGAGCAGCGAGGGGAAGTGTTGTCAAGACCCTCATGTTGAAATGTTACCTCCAGACACTGCAGTTCTCTTCAGGGCAAGGCCACACTACTACTACTACTACTACTACTACTACTACTACAGTACTTCACCTTGTTGTTTTTACTGTTACTCTATCAGCTTTCTTTCTTACCCACGTCTAAATGTGGTGAACCAATCATTTTATGTTGTCGTTGACTAATAGTTATAACTAAAGTTCTTGGTGTTCAACCTTTAGTTCAGTTATTTTTCATGTAAAGAATTTATTGCCATATTTATATGCCAATAAAATATAAAAATAATTTATAATAAAATATAATAATATAATCATTTAATATATAATTTATATGTATCAAATAAAATAAATGATATATATTTATATCATATTTATTTATTGGCATCCTAACTCCACCCTGTAGGTGGCAGTAATACAGTCGTTTTCATTTGCCAGCTACAGAAAAAAACACATATATATTCACTGACATCATACAAGTTAACAGACCTTAGAGGGGTCACAGTGTTCATAATTGACATGTGACACTGAAGACGTGTGGTGGGTGGTGGTATTACACCCAATGTTTTTGGACAACGGTGGGAAAATGTGCATAGAACGCATTGAGTAAAAAGCACATGGAAACTTTGGTGGACAGTAATGGGAGGAGCTGAATGTACGTGGTGTGAAAGGTGGAAAAGTTTTTTTTTTTTTTTTTTACTTACCGATGGCTGCTTGGATAATAACATGGTTGTTTTTTTAATTTCTGAATTTTAAATTTATGCTAACGTTGTAGCACCAGAGCTAACCTGAGCTCCGGCCGCCCTGATGCTCACGCCGTCTAGATGTTTGTGCTGCAGTTCATTCATATTTGAGGATGTGGATTCACCCAGAGGTGAACACAAATTTTTACACTTCTCCACCTTCTTTCTTACATTTCCCTTCCGTCCCCCCGTCCGTCTCGTCTTTTCTCGCGCCTGTCTGTTCTGCTGTAGGTCTTTCGTTTCTTCCTGTGGCCCAGACAAAGTGAAATAAAAGGTCATGGATGCCTGCCTCTGTGGCACTAACGTGCTGATTGTCTCCCCCCCCCCACCTCACCTCATCTCCCTCCCCCCCGTCCCCCGTCCTCCTGAGTACATTAAAACTCTTTACCTATTCTATCTGTATGTTAATGCACCTCGACACAGCTCTGGTTCTTTCCTCCCCTGGTGTACAGAATGTGCCACAATTTTCTCCCAGTTTTATTTGTACGACTCAGACCGAGCCAATAATGTCGTTTTATGACCGGAGCAGCTCTGGTTCGCTCATCAGGTTTTCAGCATGTGGCTTCTCTAATCACTGGTATAGATTTTATTGAAGTCATTATTGTCACTGGCATTTGAGCCTATTAGACGTTGTTTAAAAGGCTGTTGTTTGATTGCACGCCTGTGTTTGATGGGCTCCGTCCCTGAAGCTTGACGCAGTCTGTTACCGCGCATGTTTGTTTTGTCAACAGACTCTGTGAGTGAATATGTTTTGGGACTGACATCATTACACACTGGCCTAATTATATCCACAGCTATCGATTCTTGACTTATAAAAAAAGAAAAACTTTACAAACTAAACCAAAATCTAAAATTTGACTTCAACATCAGTGTATAATTCACACCTTTGTGTCTTTTTATTCTTAAACTGAGTTTTAAAATCTGAAAATCCTCAAACTGAACTCTTCTGTTTTTACACCAAGCAGCTGATTATTATTATCTGGACAAACTTTTTTGACACAGGCCAGATTACAACGGGCCACATCCGGCCCTCGGGCCGTAGTTTGCCCATGTCTGATCTAACCCATCTAACCTTACGTGTTAGCGCCACCTACCACTTTCACCTGTACCTGTACTTTTTCCCTGCTTGTCAACGGTCTAGTCGATTACAGAGCTACACAGTTTTTATTTATTTTGTATTCATGAAATATACATTTTTTACCCTTTAAAATAGTTTTGTTCCTTATATTCACAAAAGTAGAAAAATTATACCGATCATCAGAAATATTTAACTTTGAAAAGCACATGTTTCCTTGTTTAAATCATAGACATTTTCGAGGATCAGTTTTTTAAATTTTTTGGTCACATACTGTACTTAACTCCTGAGTGGATCGAGGTATAGAACGTGATACGCAAGACAGACTCTTGTAACTGGACGCGTCTCCAAAAAGACGAAGCATCGGTGGAAGCGCCGTGTTGATCTGAGCGGGGATGGTTTACACCATGACTCATAATCCGTTTGTCAGTTTGTTGGGACGCTCATTAATCAAGAAGTAAGCTCCAACTGAGCTCCGTCTGGCTTCTTCAGTCTCGAACCGTCTCCTGTATCAGAGAGAGATCTTTCCTCCCATTTCTTCTGAGTGCCTTCTTCTGTAAGGAATCACGTGATCAGTCATCAGAGAGGAAAGTGAGTGTGTTTTTCTCTCCTCATACTGATGCATCTTTCATTGTGGACACCTAATCCTGTCATCATAAGCTGATGACGTTGGTCAGTGGAGGAGACTTTCCATTGGCCGGTTCCCAGCAGCGTGGCTGCAGGTATTTGGTGATGACCCTCCGGTCTGAGGTTTCTTGTTTTTGGTTCCAAACAGACAATCTCTCTCTACCTCATCCCTTCAAAGCCTCAAATTTGTTCGGTTACAGTCGAGGGAAAAAAAAAATTAAAATCAAAGAAACTGGAATTCCTTCTAAACTGCTTTTATACGGAGCAAGGAAATTTGAATATTTATTTTTTCTTAAATTTAAAACCACACACAATAAAAAATACTGACTTACAAAAATATCAAGGTCAAAACTAGGGTTAGAAGCGACACTCAGAAGTCTCGAGCTCCTCGGCTGACAAGAGAGATCTGCTTCCCAGGAAACTGTTTGGTTCACTACTGTATGTGTCTCTCACACATTTTCACTACTTTATTTGGTGAGAGGAGACGAGAGTTAAAGTCACCGGCCTTATTGTCTATTTATGCAGGAAGAAAAGGGCGAACAGTCCAAAACTGTACATTTACCACAGTGAAGATAGGATTATAATACGGATTATAATCCGTAAAAACACTTTGTTTGGTCCAGCGGTGTCAAACTCATTTTGATTCAAGGGACAGGGACAGACTGATTAGATCATTGTTTCCCAAAGACTGGGTCGCGGCCCAGGAGTTTATGAATAATGTCTATTGACTTGGGGCGCGAAGGTTTGTGACTTTTAAAATATGGGACCCCAGAAAAACAGTTTTGGAAACACTGGATTAGATGACTGAAGTGGGCCGGATCAGAACAATCATAACATAATTATCTCCAAATAATATTAAATCATTGTTTTTCTCTTTTGTTTTCATGGAAATAAGTTCAAGTTTATTAGAAAAAAAATTTTTTTTAAAGAATTTTTAAAGAATTTGACAAAACCTCACCAACATGACATTTTTGTGCACTTTCAAAGTTCATCAAGTGGGCCGGTTTTGGCCTGTGTGCCATATGTTTGACACCACTAGTCTTTTAAAATGACATCATCTTGATTATACATTGAAAACAAGTGGCGCACATATTATTTTCTAAAAAATTTAAAAACAAAATCTCCACACTGGCTGTTCAACAAAACACCCAGACACAAATAAAAAAAAACCCAAAGTCTAAAATGCAGTAATCAAATGAACACCGGTGACGGTGCCAGAAGACCATCAAATCTGAAAGGGCTTCAGAGAAACACCAAACAAAGACGCTACTGAATGATGTTAACACTCCAAACAGTGTCGTGTCTTCACGAGTGCCGTGTTAATTA